TCTTTCCATATTCTAGGGGAAGATTCACTCTCGTTTTGCACATTTCGAGAGTAGTGCAGCGAGGCCCATATGGTACTTCAAGATACGCAGAATCCTCGACAGAAACCACTATTTTCGCATCATTTTCTTAAAATGAATAAAAACTGCTACGAATAAATCTGAAATGCATTTTTCGGATTTAAAAAATGCGGTAAATGGTGTCACACCGTTGAGGTTTCTCAACTCAACGGCCGTAGGCGGGACCAGACCCCAGGACACAACGATCGTGAGTGAACTGAATACTTGGTGAAGAAAATACCGGAGTAACAAAAAAAAAAAAAAAAAAAAAGGGGAAGTGTGGCGGGGGAGCAGGCAGGCTTGAATCGGATGAACTAAGATGTGTGACGCAAAAGGAAACTTCCCCGACAGTTTGTAAGTGTTTTTTTTTTTTTTTTTTTTTTTTTTTTTTTGCAAGAGGGCACGGCCTTCAGGTATGATCATTGAGCTGACCGGTCCCAGGTAATTCAGAATTATTCTATTCTGTTCATCTGATTGCGCAGCTGGATTCGAATCTGGGTCTGTATTTCAGCAGTTCCGCTGATTTCCCAACGGGCCTACCGGTAGGCCCATTGGTAAGAGGTTGTAGTGCTCTCCTCAAACCGCAGCGTGCTAGCCTCTGTATGATATCAAATAATTTTATAGTATTTATACTGTAATAATATATGTACACATCTATGTCTCTCTATGACAACAACAGACAGAGAAATATGTACGTCTACATATTTTTTCTATATATTAAATTTAATTTATGTTTAATTGTGTTTACGGCTGAATATCAAATCGCAATGGGAGTTGGCACTAGGTTCGTACGGTGTCACCCCGGGGCCAAGTCCCACTTACACGAATTTTCGATTTAGGACCCTTGATTCTGAAGATCAACGGCCAGAAATGATGAATAATTCGGTCGGATGGGACTTGGCCCCCGCACACACACAGTCCTGTGGCTGTGGCTGTGGCTGTGTCCCGCCTGTCGAGGGAATCTAGCACCTCGCCTTGCGGCCTCCTGCCTTTCCCTCTCCAATGGGTGAAGGCATCTCTCTCTCTCTCTCTCTCTCTCTCTCTCTCTCTCTCTCTCTCTCTCTCTCTCTCTCTCTCTCTCTCTCTCTCTCTCTGTGTGTATGTGTGTGATGAATGTGACTGGTAGGCTTTTTTCTAGACTGCGCTTCAACTTAGGGCATACTCACACTTACTTATAGGACTTCCCTAGATGTATTTGACGTTAATTCTAGCGTGATCTGGATGTATCTGACTGCAATTTCGTCCAGAGCCTAGTCCGAAAAAGTCCCGGACTGAGTGTGTGCTTGTTGGAAACGCCTCGGCTCTCGGTTTAGGGTTCCACTGTCGTGATAACGGGTTTCTCGCTTTTTCCCCAAAGACGACAAAAAAAAACGAGTGCATTTTCCTACCGCTGGCGGCAAGATACATTCGTTTCTATGTGTTGTCTCGCGAGGCCCGGAATTCTGTAAAGAAAAAAGATTAAAAAAATCGTCTCTGAATGTAGTCTCAGTCGTCGTTTGGGTTCGGGCGGTTGTTTTTTTTCCTCCCTTTGATGTTTTTTTTTTTTTTTTTTTTAACTAATCTATATTCTTCTCTCAATCTTCTTTGTATATATTTTTTTCCTCGTCTATCTCGCGAGTCCTCCTCTCGTCCTCTCGCTACTCTATGTATAGACTCTATAGAGTAGGGGGGGACCACCACCACCAACCAAACCTGGAATCTGGAACTCTCCCCAGCCGACGGGCCCAGGGGCCCAGGGGGTAGGTTGGCACCACAGCAGCTGCTGTGTGGGAGCAAGGCTTGTATATATATCAGCCCCCCTCATAACGACGATGATGCGGGGGGTGACGAGGCATGGCCGAGGGGGAATTTCAAACTGGCGATGCTACCGTCTTCAACCCGAATAGAACGCCCGGTCATTAGAGCCGTATTTGGTATAGTTTTCAGTCCAGATACGGCTATATAATGACCGGGCGTTCTATTCGGCTGAAGACGGTAGTGCCGATAGCATCTTTGGCCAGTCATTTGCACCTCCCCCTACCGGGGGGGACCACCACCAACCAAACCTCCAACCTGTTTTCTTGACTTGATGTGTGTGCGTGACATGGGGGAATGCGCGGGTCCCATGCTATTTCTCTTTCCTTTTTTTTTTTTTTTTTTTTTTTTTTTGGTGGAATTGTTATTTTTACCGGCCCGGTGCCAAGGTCAATATGCATGCGGAAAGACCTTTGCAGACTTAGCCCCGGGACACAGCAATCTAAATGCATCTGGAGGTGGCCATGGTCCCGGTACATTCAAAACGTTGGATCCGTGCAAACAATACATCTGGTCCACTATTTGTCCACGTGTAGTACAGCGTGGCCCGTAAGGCAGACAGGTACTTGTGGTTCACTCCGTCCACAGAGACCCGTCTGGACCGGTGTAATTCAGATTCTACACGTATCTGGACTGAAACATTGATCAGATACATTCGGACTGACCCAACGTTGTTCAATGTATCTGGCCAAAAGTGCTGTCGAGATACAGTGAGAATGCTGAGTAGTCGAGCGAGGCCCAATTCTGTTCCCGTTTCCAAGGGAAAAAATAGATTTGGCTTTGTCAAGGTGTGAGAGCTGACCCTTTCTTTTTTTTTTTTTTGGAGAATCGATCACCAGTTCTACAGGTATCTGGACTGTCTGGTCCAGGTATATTCGGACTGATTCCACATTTTAGAAATGTATTGAGACCGTCCTGTCGTCCAGTTACACATTTCAAAGGCTTTGTAGCGGAGCGAGCCGAAGGCCATATTCGCTCCACTACTCTCCCCCACATGCATAAAAGACAAAACAACATGCACGTGTATCTTCCCGGGTTCTAGCGAAAGATTCATTCTCATTTTTCACATTTCGTGACTACTGGAGCGAGGCCCATTACGCTGTGTAGATCGTTATATGGATAATTCGGTACCGACAGTACTCTTCTGTCTGGCGACGGGATCTCTCTCTTCATACTCTACCGATGCGCATAAATTGCGCTTCCCCCACTTCTACCGCCGATGATCTAACAGATGACGCTGCTGAGGGTCTGGATGAGGATGTTGTGATGGTGATTTATTACTGATGGACGATGAGGAATAAAGAGACCAAGTTCTTTTTGAGACACAGAGGCGAGCGAGGGAAAAGAGGAGGATCGCAGAAGGATCGCAGAAGGATTGCAGAAGCCTCGAAGAGCTATCGAGGAAGTTTTGGAGAAGGATCGAAGGAACGGAGAAGCTTCGGAACGGAGAGACTCTGAGATTCGGAGAAGGAACGGAGAAGCTGCAGGGAAGGATAGGCCTTGCAGAATGATCGGAGATTGGCACTTAATGCGACCAAGGGGAATGGATGGATGTCATCCGGATTGGTTTGGTGCTATGGCAAGCGAAGATTGACGATGAGACGTAAGAGGGCACGTAAGGCATATGACTGAGGATGATTCACATGCATCCATGATGAATCTATCCATGTTGTGGTGGTGGTGGTGGGGGGGGGGGGATGGACTTCGATGGCGATTGGATTGACAAGCGAGACGAAAGTGGATATGGCTATGGTGGTTCTGTAGAAGCGGGATTGGAGTCCAGTTTGGTGTGAAAGTCGTCTTTGTGGGGGTGGGGGAGGGGTTGGTGGCAGGGCGCAGTAGGAGCAGCAAGGATTTCTTTCGACCAGGCGAAAGAAAGAAAGGGTAAGGATTCAAGAAGCGCTACATGTAGTTGGAGAGTTGCTATAACTGGGCAAGTTTCAACTTCTCCTTGTTGCGACTTTGACCCCACTATCTGTATTTTGCGTATGCGTATTTTGCGTATGCGTATTTTGCGTATGTGTATGCGTATGCGTATGTGTATGTGTATGTGTATGTGACTAGGCTTTTCGTATTTACTCTCTTCTATGGAGGTCGTGTGAGTGATTCCAGATACATAGCTTCGCCGGGCTGGTCTGGTCAGTAGATCGCTGGTTCTTTCCTTCATCTCTCTCTCTCTCTCTCTCTCTCTCTCTCTCTCTCTCTCTCTCTCTCTCTATGTGTGTGTGTGTGTCTCGGCGGGGTGATGATTCCTGTCCATGTGCATATGAATCTGCGCGTTCTGTGTGGGTGGGTGTGTCTCGGTTGGGTGATGATTGCTATCTGTATCAGTACCGTACGGTCGTCGATGTCCATATGAATCTGTGCGTTCTCGGCGGGGKGATGATTCCTATCTATATCTGCCCCGTACGTATGAATTTGTGCGTGGCGTGTGACCTTCTCCGTCCGTGTGTGCGAAGTTGACCAAATTCCCTTTGTCGGATTACGAAAAATTCGTGTACCTTGCTCAATCGTGTAAATTTACGACGAAGTGTGCTTTCACACTGGTTAAGCCAATTCTGTCCCGCTCTGAATATCTGGACCGCCCGCGGCTCATTCCTGCGCTCCTCCCCCCCCCCCCCCCCCCCCCC